ACATGTCAATGGACTGCGTCTTGTGTCAGTTGCCGCGGTGCGTGTCGCACCTTCGGTAGTGACTGACACCTGCCGCTGGGTGTCGCTGCATAATGTAGATTGCGTGACACGCACTTAACGGCAGAACAATATTTAATTAATTACCAGTATGTTGCTGTCAAACATACGATTTATTACATTGCGGAGTTCATTTGTACAACAAATATTGAGTTCCTATATTAAGAATAAAATGTGTATTATGCCCCTTAATGAGTATTTTTCATTGTAAGTTATTTCCAGTAGCCAGTTCCAGTTTTGTGCAATGCATTCAAATACGTGTTTTTTTTTTTCATTTTTGCATAGATTTGACAGTTCAGCTGTATCATTTGTAATTATAAAATAATATAGAGACTATGCAGAGGCCATAACAAAAAAAATAAATAAAAAAAGAAGAAAAATAAAAAAAGAAACGTTTTAATCAAATGTGCCACCACTAACTGATACTTGCCAATCAGGAATTAGCCTACATATAAATATAAACTGATGAGAAAATGCCACAAACCATTATGATGTCTGCTATTCTAACGTGCTTTATGAAACTTACACCAACCATTCAGAAGTGTGCTTGACCTTGACACAGGCTTTTCACAACGCAATGTAATGTAAGTCTGTAATGTAATGCAAGTCTAGATGCTATATTAAACAAAGTTTGTACTTATTAACGTATTAACATTTGGACAGCCGGTTTTCAAGTGGTATGTGTCAGTAAAACTTGTGATGTGCCGATGTGTCACTGACATTGTCACGATCATGTCGCAGTATGTTGCCTCCAGTTGTGACTGGCAGATGAGTTGAGCAGCTGTAATTGTAACACAAAAATCCTAAATAAAAAGCTGAATTTAGTGATTTTTAAATAAATGTCCATTAAACGTATTTACGAGTTTATTATATGTTTTTCAAACATGACATCAGTGTGTGGCACATCTGTATTTGAGTGGCAGATCACACTGAATGTTGTGCAATAGCCTACCAGTGCTATTGTATGTGGGTGATCACGCAGACTTCCCATTCTATACACACGGGAAAAAAATTATCATGGATCACTTGAATACCGCATTAACACTTGCATCCGTTACTGTAATCCTTTATTTTTGTATGATGCTGCATGCACGTCGGTAGGTGTCAGTATGTTGCCTCCAGTTGTGACTGGCAGATGAGTTGAGCAGCTGTAATTGTAACACAAAAATTCTAGTGATTTTTAAATAAATGTAAATTAAACGTATTTAAAAGTTTATGTTTTTCAAACATGACATCAGTGTGTGGCACATCTGTATTTGAGTGGCAGATGACACTGAATGTTGTGCAATAGCCTACCAGTGCTATTGAAGTGGGTGATCACGCAGACTTCCCATTCTAGGATACACACGGGAAAAAAATGATCATGAATCACTACTAATACCGCATTAACACTTGCATCCGTTACTGTAATACTTTATTTTTGTATGACTGC